TTTTTTGAAGATGGGAACCACGTTGGCCCTCTTCCAGTCCTCCGGCACCACTCCAGAGCACCACGAGTGCTGATAAAGCCGTGCCAGGGGTCTTGCAATGACCTCGGCCAATTCCTTTACAACTCTAGGGTGGAGATCATCCACAAACCCTCTGAAAATGTGCAGACTGTTAGAGTCCCAAATATTTCTTGAGTACTGTCTTGAAGCTTCCAGAATGCCAAAAAGTAAGGTGTTCATATGCGCCTCAGGAAATAGTGTTTCACAGTTGTGTTTATTACCACACGAGTAAAATTTACACAGTGATTCATTCTTATAACAGTATCAGTGTATTGAAGTGTACCATGGAACTGATGTGAATATTTTAAGGATAGATGTTGCTTCAACAGCATCTTATAATTTATTTTGTGGGCCAATAATAGAAACACAGGAACATTACCTGTCAAACATGTTTCTTAAAAAATGCCCAGTACTCCTTGCATTTAAATGATCGTTTTCTGTAAAATGAAAATCTCCAGTTCTCATAAGTACATTTCAGGGAACACAATGACTTCAGTGTACAACTCTCACAGTCAAATCATTATCTGTGCTGTCCAGAGCAACAAATCTGAGGTATATATTGTTTGATTACACAAAACAAATCCCAAACCATGAGTCATGCAGAGTTGGGGCAAATTAGTTCAAATTGAAGCTGTTTAAAGGAGAATTCCTACTAAACACAAATGCTGTTCTTTAATTAAAATAATGATTGAATATAGTTGGGATGCAAGATTAGCATAGTAACTTTTCATCTGCAGGTATTGATGACCTTTCAGGTTGTGAATTAAACATAGAAGAGTTGGAAAGTTTTATTTAGATTCCCACATTTGTCTATATGATAAACATAACCTTGCACAGTTTCCACTAATGGCAGTCACAACATGAGGAAGAAAACAAGAGACCCACATGTACTATGTCACTGTTTCACCTAAATCCAACCAATTAATGGCATGACCCATAGGATGACAGTTTTACAATACAGTATAACTGTTTAACAATGAAGCTCTTTACTTTATGACAAAACTGAACAAAATAATTTCCCAGAGGAAATGTGATAATCAGTTGATATTTGCATTTTCCCCATTTCCCAGATGGGAAAACAGATATCAAATGACTTGCCTGAAACACCATTAGTGTCAGGATCAGAATAGAGTTTCCCCAAGTACACAGTCAATCTGCTTCTCTTTAAAATGATTAAAAAAAAAAATCAAATATATACAAACAATCGATTCTCTCAAACACTCTATACTTTCACAAAAATACAAATCATCATATTATGACAGCTTGGACATCTTGGTATATCTAATATTACAGACCAAAAAATTCACCTATATAAATAATTTCACTCATTCCCAGGTATGTTCTAAGAGGGAGAATTTCCAAGCAAGCTAGTACCCCAAAAATCAACATCTGTTTTTCCATTCAGTCTAATAATCCTATAGCACAGGTCCTTGAGGTCAAGGTTACTGTCCTCAATTAAACTAGCACACATTAAAGAAAGCCTCAACAGAGGGTTCAGAATTTATCCTTCCCCTCAGATTCTCCTAAACAACACTATAAGAACCATAAGCCACTCTGCTGCACCCCACAGCAGGACCAACAGGCACAACTGATATACCTTTATACACACCAGCTGCACCCACCAAAAGATATCACTTTCCCTATGTTATTGTACTGTTCACTTCTACATCTTCCTTCTCTCATGCATTACCATATTGATCCCTTTGTCTTTATTCCCCCAGTCTCAGCCTCCTATTCAGAATCCCATTTTTCCTTCATTGCTTGTATTATTATGGCACCCAGGGCTGTATCCAGATGAGCGTGGATATGCGGTATGTGGTGCTGCAGACCCATCTGTGGTGCCACACTCCACACATGCAGGCATTCCCCATGCTGCTACCTAGATCCCAACGTCAAAAAAACCCACATCAAAAAAAGGCGGCACAGCGCATGTGGCAGCAGTGTGCACTGCCCAAAACCAGAACCTGGCTGGCCAGAGCCACATTCCAGCTACCAGGCAGGCTCCCAGCTGCAGGATCACCACAGCTGCAACTCCCCAAGGCCCCCAGGATCCCAACTAAGGCTGTTGGGGCCAGTGCAGTTGCTGGCTCCGGCCTCTCCTGCCCCACCTGAGGTAACCTGACATGTGCCAGAGCACACGTAGCATACGTGTTGCCTGGGGACGAGTAGCAGTTGCACAAGGTGTGCTGCTGCTACCTGTCCCAGGGAAACAAACTTCCACACTCATCTGGACACAGTCCAGGAGTCCAAATCAAGGACATGGGGGCTTCACTATGCTTGATACTGTATAAATAGAACAAGATAAACTTGCCTGCCTACCCATTGATTTTACAAATTTAAGTATATGACAAAATGTAGGAGATGTATACAAGTGAAGGAATACAAAGAAATACTGGTTATAAAGACAGGCAGTCTCAGCATGCTAGCAGCTTTACCATAATCACATTTTATGTTTTGCATCATAGCAAAAGAACAACAAAGTTTACAAGCATGAAGAATGGTAGTGGAAAACACCATGATCATTTGAGATCACTTTCAGCCATCCAATGGCTCTTTGGATTTAATTTAAAAAGTATAATTTATGAACAAAATGGTACTCTTTAAGGAAAGCAGTAAGATCCCAGTGTAGGATCTTACCTTATACCAACCACCTTTTGAGCTGGGACTGTGTTTATGGTAATGATCTGTGTTTAAGCCACACATCATATACTGGTGCTGTATGAGCCATTGGCACCCAGCTCTTTTAAAGGTTAGCTGGATTTCAGCTAAGATCAAAGAGTCTCATAGTCCTCTTTAAACATTAATATTAAAATTATATTCACACTTGCCAGGTAACCATTTCCTTTAAAGACATGGCAAGTGATC